CAAAACAGTGGGGTTTTGGGTTTCAGTAAAGGAAAGAGAAGAGGTGGGGTTTATGAACGGATACTGTAAATTAATGTGAAATGACAAGTTTTGGTTGACAGAAAATGGATAGTTGTTGCATGAGGCTGTTGTATCTTTTTCTTTGAGTCATCAGTCTTGACTTGGATATATATATTATGGGAGGATCAACCTCGATCAGATGGTATCTACGACCTTTAACACATTTAACATAAAACTTTTTGTCATTTAATTTCCCCATCGATCATGAAAAAAAAAAAAAAAACACCTCTTCACGCAAGTTAGCAACTGTATATGGTCTCTAAGCCTATATGCTTCTATGACTCATATATACTATCTTCCTTTCCGGGTCAATGAGCTGTTATCAAGTAAGCATACCACCTGCAAAACCAGTCATTGATTTCAATTTCAACAACTCGAAAGTAGTTGAACATCAAATCTCCTCAAGTTGTGCAAGTATTCATATAAAAAACATTACAATAGCTTAAATCTTTATTGGGTTTCATGTAAGTGTTTTTATAGGGTAGACGCAGCCACCTCAGTCATTTCTGAGTTCAGCTATTACTGATAAACACCTCAACATTTCTGAGATTGATATAAAGGTTACATAAATTTAAGATTCGGCAGATGTGGCTGCGTCATCTTTGTGCTTAATAGCGCCGGAGTCCACAAGAATTGGAATCTCTGCAGCTAGCCACGGAGCGAGCCCCAAACAAAGTGCATGTGCTATACCAAACCGAGGACTGCATAAACAAAATCCATTCATCAATGCAATGAAAAAGACTCTGTTCTCATATTAATGATAGAAAAGGATTGCCTAAGATGTTCAACCCAACCTCAGTGTTTAACAAGGTAAAAACGAAAACATACAAAATTAAGTTGACCTGCACAAACAGCTTAGTACTAGATTTTTCCAGCCTAAATGGATCATCACACACACGACAACAAACCAATCTAATTAACATCTTTGGACGGCGATTCTTTCACAATTCCTCTAAAATCGAGACTAAACTGATCTAAAACACTGCAAGCTTCTCTTACAATGTCTATGCAACCAGAAAGCTTAGTAGTAGAATTTGCCGGCCTAACTGAATCATCATACAAAAGAGGATCGAGAACAAATTAACATCTTTCTTTCACAATTCCTCTAATAACCGAGACTAAACTGATCTAAAAACACTGCATGCTTATCTTAGAATGTCTATGCAACCAGAAAGGATAAAAATTTACCAGTTTTTGGCCCAGAGAGGCTTGAAATGCACAGTCAAACATATCTTCCCACCTCGATACATCTACACACAACAAAAAAAAAACGTTAAAGACAAATCCGATTGAGGAGAAACCACCTCAAATCGAAAAATAAAAACAGAAAGCCCTTACCTTCTGGGTCTTGCCATCAATCTCAGGCAGCTCAAGCTCAGGAGCAGTGGCTGGGTAGGTGATAGGGATATCGAACTGGAGATCGAATTCGTATTTGAGAAGATTGTGAACATACCAACACTTGCCAGTCCAACGCGTTCCTTCAGGATTGGAAGCAGAGATACGGAACCAGTCATTATCGTTGGACTTGTTCATTTGGGTATACGCAATCAGAGACTTGTACTCTTCTTTCAGCCTCTGCGTCCACGCCGCGCCGTCTCTTGGACCCGCCTTTGTCGTCAGAAGCGGTATTCGCGTTAACGTCGACTTCGTGTTCGGATCCCATCCTTCCATTTTCTTCGCCTACCGATTTGGGCGTGTGAATTCAAAACCCTATTTGTCGATCGGAATCGGATGCTTGATTCTGATTCTGATTCTGATTCTGATTCCTCCTCTTTAGCTATTTTTCAGTTGTCACCATTGTAACCGAAACAAAGAAAATCAAACCGTATTGAATCATGCGGTTTGGTTTGATGTTGGTTTATTTGGTTAACATTGTTTGAAACCTTTTGGTTTGGTTTGATTACACCATGTAACTATGTAAAAATCTAATCACTTTTTCACATTACACCATGTAAACAATACAAACAAACAAAGATTTCTGAATACAAAATAAATTTTGCTAAACAAATACAAAGAAAAAAGTACTCAGAAAACTTTTTTGTTTACCAAAATTTATTTTTCAAATTAGTAAATTGTATTTCAATAAAAAAAAAAAACTAAAAATATTTGTGTATAAACTATCAAAAAACATATTAGTGAAATATATAAATCAAAGATATTATTAGTGAAATTCTGGTTCAAAAAAAATTATAATCCTAATTGGCTAAACTCATTGGTTATGAACACATCTTCCAGGTGTAAGATAGAGATGGAAAATTGAAGTGTTTATTTAAATAATTATGTGATGATGATGAACAATTAGCTAGGAATCACGCTATTGTCTACATCTTGGATCATCCAGAAGATGATCATATATCACGGTCTCAACAAGTTTATGCCTTCTCCGGAGTACCACCATCCGTGTTTGTGCGATCTAGAATATAAATTTTGGTTAAATTTGTAGAGTCAAAATGTAATGTTGAGGAACATGGTCATGCTAGAATAACAATAGATGAAGTTGTGGTAGACATTCGATTTGCTAACATGGATAGGAACACAACCAATCTTATGGTACAAAAAGGCAACAACGGTCAGTTCACCTAATGCCAATAGATCACAAACGGTCTTTATCCAATAATTCTAATCGACAACAAAACTTTTTTTTTGATTGATTCAATTTCTATTTTCGTTTTGTCATATTAACGGAACCGTAACGTCGTTTCTCGATTTGTTGGTTTTGACCGGATTCAAATTGTTCGTGTAGAAAATTCAAATTTTAGCAAAGTTCATGTAGTTGTAGGCACACTTTAAAGTTCTGTGTATGAATGCGATAAAGCAACTAAGTTTAGGGGGGAATTGACCGTTTTCCCATTAAACCGGCGTCTTTCGATTTGTTGAGAAATCACAAAAAAGTTTTATTCTAAAGAGATTCGAACTCGAAATAATGAAGACCATGTGAAAACGTCGTTACCAGCTGAATTAACAAATATTTTCAAAAGTACTAGGGGTTGAAATAGGCTCTTTTCCCCGCAAAAAAAAAAATGAAGTAAAATGAAGTAAACTATATCACCTAACATACATAGCAGAGCATGTTGAGCAATTTGCAACAGATATGTTGGTGATATGCAACTAGATTTCATACAGTCAGCTAATCGTTTACCGGGTGCATTGACAATATCTGTTATTAGTTGGTATGTTTCTGAATCCATCCCACTATGCTTGTGTAGTTACTTTTCTTTAAATTCATCATGATATTAATTGTGCTTTTGCCTGTTACAGTTTTTGCTATCCCACTTTTTTAGTTGAAACTATGTTAGTTTTTTTGGTCCGCAGTATGCTGATTTGTTCTTGCAAGTAAGTTGATATGGGTGCTTTGGCGCTCATAAATTTTAGTTTCTTAACGTGAAAAACTCATTTTCACATGTATGCTGGTGATAAAAGAGCCATACATAATGTGTCTGAGTCCTGAATGATAGGGTGATATTAGAAGTCTTCTTTTGCATAAGCTTTATCTGTGCCTCATTTTTGTGAGATACAACAATAAGCAGTTGATCTTCCACTTGTAAGTAGTTTTTTGACCAAAAAAAGATTGGCTGCCCTACTTGCACTTTCAGTGTGTCTTGAATCAAATTAGCTTGTAAATGAATAACATCAGGGGAGTGAAACTACTGGTTTCCATTTGTATGTCTACTAAACTTCTGGCTTAGAGAGATAAAGCATGGAGACAGGTTATAGCACCAGTTCAACCCCTATGATAAGGTTGCAGCTCACTGAATCATAGTCCTGGGGAAATTGGCTCAGTTGAAGCTGCATCAGTTACAGATATTGACAGTTACCTGGGTATATGTGAAGCTCCAGTATGCAAGTGATAAGGACATCAGACAATGGATAGAATGGTCAGCTCTAGTAGTTAGATATGTATTTTCAAGTAACGCAGAAACATGTTTGAGGAAATTTTTATTTGGTCGTGTGAACTGGATGTATATATACACTTATGACGTTATGTTGGGATATTAAAAATGTATACATTAAAGTATAACAGTTTATGCACAGTATCATTTGGCAATCAGAGCTTTCTTTATGCTGAATTCTATTTCTAGCCTATATTTTACTTGCCTTGTGGTTTTACCTTCTTTTATGATGAATGTTTCTTCTCCATGTATAGGATTAGGTGGATATTTGATATGGTTGATGATGCGTTGAATAAATTTTGCTACTTGATCTTATATTATGCGTTGCTCTTTAGATGGATATAGAAGCTATCTCATGGTTGTCAATTGTCATGTCCAGTAGGTGGCATATTTCTAGTCACTTTGAACTATCAAGGTTCCTTCATCTGTTTGAGAGCACCTTCAGTTTAACTTGGATATACTTGCATAGCAAACTAATTTGTCACTTCTACAATTTTTTCAAAAAGTAGTAATTACCTAGCAGATGTTTGGGGGCACTATCTTTATAGAAAGATTAATGTCAAATCCTGAGAGGAGAGACTTTGTCTAGAGAGATGGTTTTTTATTTTATTGTTGACATGCCTCCAGACCAGAACTTCTGACTCCTCAAACTGTGATAATGGGATTTGACAAAATTTAGATTGAGGATAGTTTCATTTCATGTTGTTCAAGAGCTTATTTGATGTGTTGTATGCTGCAGAATCATGAATAAAGTTTCTCACAGGAATGGTTGCTTAATAAAGTTATATCGATTTCTAGCGTTTAGTATTCAATTATAACTGTCTTCTTTTTTGCTAAGTCTAATATCTGTATTAACAGACTCTCTCTTAAGTTAGTAGGAACTTTTTTGACCGCATCCGATTTATCAAACTGTCCCGATGCAACAACAATGATGTTATCGATTGATCTCTTTTCAATTTTGTAACCGTGTAATCCGTGATGGTCCAAAAGCAAAACTCGTTTGAGTTGATAATGAATATTTTATCCAAATTTTTTTCTTAAATATCAAATTATTTTGTCCGCTTCACACTAGTTACAGTGTTAGACCACCTCCAAATGGAGGTTTTAAACTGGGGTTCTAAAACCCAAAACGATACAAAAAAAATTCAAAACACCAAAAATTGTCGAGAACCGGTTCTTAAGTAAGGGATTTTAGAACCCCTTACGTGTCTGCCTTTGATTGGATCAGCTAATTTTAAGGAAACAAAACAAATGTTCTCTCTCTTCCTCGAAAATCTTTGTCGACTCGCTCTCTCTCTTTAGCGGCTTCTCGCGGTTTTACCTCACCGGCGACTTGTTTCTCCGTTGGGACTTATTTCTTCTTCCTTACTACTTCCGAAGACGACCCTTCCTCGCTAATTTCCTTTCTCTTCTTCGATTTCTAGGTTTTCTTCTTCGTCTTTGTCTTCTTCTATTTTGTTTAGTGTCTACAAGTTGTTTGTTAAAATGTCTCTGAGTTAAAGCATTTAGATTCTTTGTTTTCAGGATGGAGGATGTTTTTCCTAACCTCTCTCAGGTTCCAGAGGAGATACGTACTCACTTGGAGAAAATGATTGATTGGTTACGGCAGGCAATTGTTGGGAGGAATGAACTGGATCGATTCAGAGGTGCTGAGCACATCTTAAAGGTTTGCGATAGCAGTGGAAATTTGGTGTGCTTGTTCAAGGCCTTCAATGCTGGTGATGAAAACTTAGCAAAGAATGAAGCATGTGTGTACCTGCTTGATCATCCCGAAAACGATCACAGATCAGTGTCTCCAAAAATCTATGGCTTCTCTAGAGTAAGACCAACTGTATTTCTGCGATTTAGACTAGGAAACGAAATGAAGATGGGTATTTTGATAGAATATGCTGAGTCAAAGGGTTGCGCACGTCGTAGTGGCTTGGGAATACCTGTGAATGAAGTTCACAAAATTCTTATCACAGATATACGTTTCGGGAACAGTGATAGGAATGTAGAAAATGTTCTGGTTCAAGAAAGCGAAAACGGGGCAATTCAACTGGTGCCAGTCGACCATGAAATGTGCTTTGGGAATGAAGTTCAACCTTATAACATCTGCAGTCCCTGTTGGTTAGGTTGGTTGAAGGAAGAAATGAATCTCAATCAAGTTTTTTCCTCGGAGTCGGTGAGTTACGTGACAGGGCTAGACGTTGAAAAGGATATTGAATTTGTTCGAAGATGTGGATGGGAACCTGGGATTGAGTTTAGTGAAAAATTCAAGGTGTTTGGAACCTTTTTGAAGAAGGCGGTTTTTCAAGGATTGACAGGCTTTCACATCGGTTTGATCGCGGCATTTAAATGTGAAAATATGAATTTCAACTTGCAAAGTATAATCGACGATGTTGCTAGAGATGACGATTTCTATGATAACGTGGGTATTCGCTTAGAAGAGGCTCTGAAGCAATATCAAGAGGAGGTTTAGATTTTGAGAGATCCGAGGGAATAATATCAAGAGAAGATTCGTGGAATTGCAGATTTTTTTTCTATTTTAATAAAAAGAAAAATAGTTTGTGATTTGATGAGATTTAAAGGAAAAACTTAAAGGTGATTTTGGGAGATTTGTAGAACAGAAAGAGGAAAATTTGGGTTTACTCAATACTCACATCATTGATCCCTTTATCAAACCACATCATCATTGCCATGTACATATCTTTCTTGTAGAACAGAAAGTTATATTTCCAAAGTCTTTGCATCATAATTATAAGCTTGAATTTAAACAAAACATCATCAATACATTCATACGAGCAAGACTAATGGCCAACTTCTAAATTACTAAATGGCTTGAACCTCATGCTAATAAATTAATCGTAAAACAAAGCTTCTTTAGGATTATAACAAGATCTTTTAGTCTCATTCACTCCTTTCCGATTGTTTCCACCCAACAAGTGTAAGAACATAGATGATGGAAGCGTGCATTGATTCCGGACAGCCCTTGTAGGTAAGCTCAACAAAAGTTCCTGCCCCTTCTCCTTTCGCAAGTCTTCCCGGGTTTACACACACACAGGCATGCTCTTCGACAACTGAGCGCTGCAGAACCGGAATTGCCTCATTGTACTCCTTTTAACTTACAACGGACTGCTGCTGTAACATGCAAACACATGATCCATTCTAAACACGGTTTCCCATTCTCTGCAGAAGCCTCAAATAACTTAGCTGCTCGATGAGTTAACTCAAGAGCTTTGTGGGTACTTATCACCAGAACTAACCAAGTTTCTCGCTTGGTTCAGTAAAAAACGTGACAGCTCTACATTTTCAGATGATGGTTCTTCATTTCCAGTTCGTAACTTGGTGGTTCCGACTTTCTCCTTCCTCATTCCACCACCTCCAACGTTCGATTTGTTAACATTCTTCTTACCAACTTGTTTCTCCATATCCTTGGGCAAGACCTCCAAATCCAACTTTATAGAGTTTGATATGGGCTTTGCCACTTCGTCCTCATCATCTCCTTCATCTTCCAAGATATCTATATCCCGCATTTCTCCCAAAGCAAGATGTTGTAGATCAGAATCAATCTTAGACTCATCACCATATGATCCAAAACTCTGCCTTGAAGGAGACTGATTAGAACTCTGCAATTCGCAGAGATTCTTACATAGCTCCTCTATCGTTGTGTCAAACAATTGGTCCGCATTAGAATGCAGTTCACTAACAGACCCTCCTTCCATTAGTTCCTTCGAATAAACAGCTCTCTGCACACAACCATAACCAAACTTTATCAATGGAGATATGCAATATCAGAGAAGGCTCGATTAAACCGAAAACAATCCTTTAGTAAACCCATAAATTGGACCCTCTACTGAATCGAATCCTGGAAGAATACATATATGTTAAATAATGCATTGAAGCCCTTATCATTATCCAAAGACACAAATTGCTCATATAATCCTTTTCAGACCTTCATTATGACACATTAGCCATTGTAAGACAAAACACGAGCAGATTGTGTCGGAATCGAAATCCTCGGAAGAAGACAAGAACAAGGGAAATCTGAGAGAGAGAGAAGTCTAATTGTAGAGATGACAGGTCCAGAAATGGGTCGGAGGGTGAGAGAGAGTGACTACCAAGAATTTGTGACCCTATCTTAGATTCTTCATCTCATACAAAAATGTCATGATTTGAAAACAAAAAGAAATGTAAAACACAATTTTAAAAAGATAAATAACCTGGCCAGCAGGCACATTTGGATCTCCTGTCAACTTTACAGCCTCAACATATTCAAAGAACTCTATATCTGAGGAGTTACTTCCTTCTGCATCATTCCCGAATGCACCCACATATAGACCTGCACTTCAAATTCAGAACATAAATCCAAGTTGAGTTGTACAAAGACATTCTGGGCCCAAATCAAAAGGAACTGCATAACACTAATGCACAACATGCTTACCATCAAAAGGGTCTAGGTTGCTTTCAGGAGTTATGATTCTATTAAATGATGTATACTCAGAGAGACGGTTTCCTTTTTGTGCCTGATTTATAGCAAGCTTGACAATCTCACGCAAATGTCTCGATACGTAGAACAATAATCGAACAATCCTTATATCTAAAAACATTAACTCGATAACATAAAGAGGTTTTAAATAATAACAAACTCCTTGATCTGATTCTAGAGTTTAGCTTTATAAAAAGCGGTGTAAATTCAAGAAATATACCTTCAAAGAAGCTTTCTCTCCCCAGAACGCCTCGGCAACCTCTGGTGGCAGCAGTTCTGAAATTCCTTGAGCTGCAAGAGCTGTTACTTGTTCTTTGGACACTCTATTTTTCCTTGTATCGATATCTCTCTTACTTCTCCCAGAAACATGCAAGATAAAGGAATCTCAGTATCCATTATATCTGCCGAGACACCGACAATCTCATCATCTACATAGGAATCCTCTATGTGATGTAGAACCCCTCCGATGACAAGCTTAGTGTTTATAATGCTTTCCATAATCTGCACTGTCCATAGATGAGATTTCTTCAATACTGTCATTTTCTACTTCTTCTTCTTCATCAGAAGACTTTTTGTTTCCTCTATGCCTTCTCCAACCAGCTCTTCAGTAGCATCATCACTGCCTACAATCTCTTCCTCAGGGATTTTAATAACATCCATTACTTTCAGTTTTAGCCCTGGGATTTTATCCTTTAGAAATTTGATCACATTTTTAATTCCTTCCCCAGCATTTAGTTGTGTATCTTCTTTTTTATCCACCTTCAATTCATTTCCTCGGACATCTAGAATGGATGGGTCATCGATTGAGGCATTCGATGATTGCTGTGCTCTTAAATAAGAATTCTCGGAAATGGACAGGTTTTGCTTCACGTGTTGCAAATACACCACCTGAACACAGTAGATAGGTACACATCACTTCAAAGGGGTTAATCAGTGATTATCAAAACCTCAGAGCAGCAATTTTGAAACACTAATCTTATACAATAATACAAGATACAGGTAAAAGGATATACAGTCACCAGAACTGCTAAATACAAATGAGATTTGCTTAAATTACCAGCATAACAACAAAAAAAAACTCAAACAGAGGTGTTCCTGCTTCCAGCCACCAGCTGTCTATATGAAACAGTAATGAGATTCAATTACCAGCAGCAATTGAGAAAAGATTTAAATCCTCAGCATAACCTGCTCTCACCTTGGGGCTTGGACTGTAACTCTTGCCAATAAACCTACCAACACCTGGAGTTATGTGTACAATTCTGCCAAATGGTTCCTCAGAATCTCGAGGATAACTAACCCACCTACATAGACATCAGAAACGTGATAAATGCTTTGAAATTCTAAAACAATCCCACTCCAGATAAAAGCATAGATTCTTGACTAGAGATTTGGGTAATAACATGAAGCAATCCTTGACAAATTGACCAGGTGAAGAAACCATCACTTATGTCAGGAAACATATTTTTCTTCAACTAATCTTAACTATCTTAATAGTTTACAGACATGAAACCTCTTTTGCACCTCTTCTAAAGCTTAACAACTCTTAACTTTTCGCCCTTTTTTCTTGATTCAAATGTGTAAGTGTCATCTAGGAAAATCTTACAAGCTAAACAAGACAGAACAAAGTATAAACAAAATTACCAGTCCACTTCCTGTCTCGTTACATAACCTGGAAGCATCATGGTAACGTAAAGTACCTGCATTCCCCTAATCTGCACTGCACAGTGGAGAAGGCTCATGCCTGATTGGACTCTTGAATTCTTTGGTTCTCCCTGACCCTGAGCATATAGAGCCCCTACTCCTTCAACTGTAATATCCTTTAAGGATGGCAAAGAGGTTCAAATTCAACAACACAATGCCTGATGAGCACAAATATTCTCCAACTACAACTGTGAAAACGACTACCTGATTTCCCTCAATGCGGTAGACTCTGCTTGCCTGACATGTATGAAGATCACAGGTCACCTCTTTTTTTTTTTTTAGGGAAAACATTTTGGCGAACATATATGCAATTACTCAATTTTCTGACCAGAGTTTCAAGAGCATCGAAAACAGACCTAACGTTATCCTCTATAATTGTTGTACCCTCCCGTGGTTCAGTCACCTAAACATTTTGAAAGATAATAATGAAAATAGTGAGAATCAACAAAAAGAGTTGACAACGCAGTGAAACACAAGTATTTGTGTACATTCAATCTAACATACCTCTCGTCCTGTGTTTTGAATAAATTCCGTGTTTGCATCAAAACTACGACCCATCCTATCAATATCTGAACTTAACTCTTGTTTTGTACCCTGTCATGAAATGCTAACATAAACAAAATGAGATAAAATATTGATCTTCTGCACTTGAGTTATACTAAATTGTATTAGATCATTTGGATGGTATAGCTCACGAAAGAAACAATCATAACTGATAAGAATAGAGTTCTGTGGTCAAATCAAGAAAAATTAGTAAGTGAACAGTCTTTAAGAGCGCTAAAGCAAACATGGAAGTAAGAACTTACCGAGAGCGATAAGTAAAAACCATCAATCTGGTCGCAAACATTATTACATGTATCTGATAGGCTGCGCCCTGAGAATGTTGCAGACTAAATTTGTGAATTATTGCATATTGATTTGTCAACAGCACTTCAAATGAGCAAGTGTTAAGTAGCACAGGTATGGTGTACATATTTGTAGCCTATCACCCCAAATATAATGAGCAAACCATACTTTCTACCACCTGTAAATTGAAGGAAATTGTTACTATATTTTACTTTTGAGCTACAATGAACAGAAAACAAGAACGATGTCACATAAATAAAAGATTCTAGGAAAGAAAATGCCACAGATAAGGACATATGTCTCTCTTCTTTGATGCGGAAAAACCTTAGCAAAAGAAGAAAAACATAAAAAGAGGATCTCAAAACAATTGCCACAGAATAAAAGAAGGGTTCTTGTGTCTTGTTTCATATCAGCATAATAGCCCATGCCAAGCCATTTTGGTCAATTGTCACATGTTTTTAATGCAGAAGATTAGAGCAGAATGGAATACAAAACTTCAACATAAAAACTCTAGAGGACCTGATCTTGCTTTCGTAACAATAGTGTCATAGGTCTGTTTGAAGACAACAACTGCAGTTCCTGCCTAAGACTGTTGAACCTACAAGAAAAATAGAGAGTAGACGAAGTAAATTTAAGTCCCTCACAAGTCTTTCTTAATCGGCTCTATCAAGTATCAAATAATGTATCTGCGTCTCTTTCTCTTTTCCTGCTATGTTTAACTTAAGATTTGATTGTCGCAATTTGTGGAAGTCTATCTTACTTCTCAAGGCATATTATTTTTTACTCTTTTTAGTGCTTCCAACTAGTGTATGATGATTTGATCTGAAGTGATGGTTTGAAATTGGGAACATAAGTCCAAGATATTTAAACACTGGCAATTCCATAGATTTTACATCAAAAGAAAAAGAGGATAACAAAGTAGAGTTTGGAAATGTGTCAACAACACCAGACTGTAGAAGAAAGAAACAGAGCAAGGCCGAGGGAGAAACCATGAGGAACTCAAGAATCAAGAGGGAAGAAACCACCGGGCATCCTTGACGTTTAAGTTGTGGCTGTGTTTGATGGTCTTTGTTGTAAGATTGAAGACACAGATGTCGGGGCGTGAAGGATTCCTGTGACGGATACGATCACCACGGGTGAAATAGATGGAGTTAGGCTCAATACCACGGGTATGGTCAGCAGGCACGGTGGTTCCCAAATCGAGAAAGAGGGCCTCATCACCTAGAGAATGTACCTCAAGAAGCTGGGTTAAGTAGGTCTTCGGGTCAAGATCTTTAGGATCTCTCTTGTACACGTGGAACATCCTATGCACTTCAGAGTTACCTAACTCGTAAGAACAGACAACCAAAACCTGACCTGATCTTGTAACAGCAATGCTTTCACTAGATGAGCTGATCTTATCTATGTTGACTCTTAATTGTTCATCCCTACTCAGACTTGGCATCCACATTGGAAGCTTATGGTTCTCGGACACATCCTTGATACCATCTTCACCATGTCCAGACAAATCCAAGTGTCGAATGAAGTCACGGATGGCAAGGACGTAAAGGCTGTAACCTTTAAGTACCATATCTTTTACACCGCGTAACTCCCTGCGAACACCGGTCCTTGTTAAGATCTCGCGGTAATGATCATCCCCTTTCTTGCAAAACCCTAGAAAGTCGTTCATTTCAAAATGCCACACAACAACGTAGTCTTCCTTGTTGTCGCCTACCCACAAACGACCTCTCAGATCTTCGGCAGTATGAGGATCCCCAGGAGATAAATCACTGTATAATATATTCCTGACTTTATTCTCTCCTACTCGCTCAATCTTATAAAGGCTACCTTTCAATGATTCTAGTGGTGGAAGATCGATCCTCTCCTCGCTAAAGACATCTACAATATAGAGTTTCAATTGAGAATCTACCACCAGAAACCACTTACCTGAGCTTCCCAGGAATCGATACCCTGAAAAGTCACTCTTCGTCTCGTAGACCATACCATCTTCTGGGTTGTAGATACGACAACCATCCTCTTCTGTAATTAGCATCAGCAATGGTGATCCGAATTTTGGCCGCAGGATCAAAGTCGAACGCAGGGCCTTAGCAGGCTCAGGATCCGGAAAACTCGATGTTCGTTTGAGCGTAGATCTCTCCATTCTCAGGACGGGGATTATCTCGTCTGTGAAAAAAAAAATGAATTCGTTTTTGTTTTTTTTATCTCGTCTTTTGACAAGATTGAGAAAGCGTTAAGTTGCCACATATATATGTACGAAGCCCGATAACAGCAAGAAATTATATGTTAACGGCTCGATGGCCCAATATATCATGGATCATTTGGTTAAAAATATTTCATTTTTTTATTATTTGGTTTGATTACACGATCATTTGGTTTAGTTTGATTTGGTTTGGTTTGATTACACGATGTAAAAATCTAATGACTTTTTCATATTCCATCCACGATGTAAACAAAACACAAACAAACAAAGATTTCGTGGAAGCTCCCTTTGCCTATTGGTTGACCAAGGGTTGATTAATGCTTCTACACCAAGAGGTTTGAGGTTCGAGTCCTAGATATTGCAATTTATTAACAAATTTGCAGATTAATAGAGGCAAGTGTGCAGGAGATCTCCAGCGATGTAAAATTATATCCGTTCGCCAGGATTCTACGCAGAGAAGGAAGTGTCGCCAGGTCGTGGATCATTGAAGGTATTCATCAAGATTATGAAGAAGGAAGTGTAGTCTGTCGTAGATCTAATAAGGGTCGGAAAGAATTGTCAGTTGTAGAATCGTCTATGTAACAGTTCTCATAATTTGCAATTAATAATAAATTTAGACGACAAAAAAAAAAAAAAAAACAAACAAAGATTTCTGAATACAAAATAAATTTTGCTAAACAAATACAAACAGAAAAATTCAGAAAACTTTTTTTGTTTAACAAATTTTATTTTCAAATTAGTAAGTTGTATTTCAATTAAAAAACTAAAAATCTTTTAGTGTTGAAACTATCAAAAAACATTATTAGTGAAATATAAATCATGGGTATTTTCATATATAGTACAAGTGAACTATTAACTTCTTATTGTTTGAAATCTGTTTACAAAATGACAATAAACAGAGCAAGGCCGAGGGAGAAACCATGAGGAAGGCGAGATTCAAGAGGGAAGAAACCACTGAGCATCCTTGACGTTAAAGTTGGAGAGAGTGGGGAAGCGTTTGATGGTCTTTGTTGTAAAACTGAAGACACAGATGTCGGGGCGTGAAGGATTCCTGTGACGGATACGATCACCACGGGTGAAATAGATGGAGTTAGGCTCAATACCACGGGTATGGTCAGCAGGCACGGTGGTTCCCAAATCGAGAAAGAGGGCCTCATCACCTAGAGAATGTACCTCAAGAAGCTGGGTTAAGTAGGTATTCGGGTCAAGATCTTTAGGATCTCTCTTGTACACGTGGAACATCCTATGCCTTTGAGAGTTACCTAACTCGTAAGAACAGACAACCAAAACCTGACCTGATCTTGTAACAGCAATGCTTTCACTAGATGAGCTGATCTTATCTATGTTGACTCTTAATTGTTCATCCCTACTCAGACTTGGCATCCACATTGGAAGCTTATGGTTCTCGGACACATCCTTGATACCATCTTCACCATGTCCCGACAAATCCAAGTGTCGAATGAAGTCACGGATGGCAAGGATGTAAAGACTGTAACCTTTAAGTACCATATCTTTTACACCGTGTAACTCCCTGCGAACAACACCGGTCATTGTTGAGATCTCGCGGTAATGATCATCCCCTTTCTTGCAAAACCCTAGAAACTCGTTCATTTCAAAATGCCACACAACAACGTAGTCTTCCTTGTTGTGGCCTACCCACAAACGACCTCTCAGATCTTCGGCAGTATGAGGATCCCCAGGAGATAAATCACTGAATAATATATTCCTGACTTTATTCTCTCCTACTCGCTCAATCTTATAAAGGCTACCTTTCAATGATTCTAGTGGTGGAAGATCGATCCTACCCTCGCTAAAGACATCTATAATATAGAGTTTCAATTGAGAATCTACCACGAGAAACCACTTACCCGAGCTTCCAAGGAATCGATACCCTGAAAGGTCACTCTTCGTCTAGTAAACCCTATCATCAGCTGGGTTGTACACACTATTACTACGACAACCATCCTTTTCTACAGACAGCATCAGCAATGGCGATCCGGCTCTTGGCCGCTGAATCAAAGTCGAACGCATGGCCTTTGCAGACTCAAGATCTGTACAACTCAATCGTCGTTTGAGCGTAGTTGATCTCTGCATTATCAGGACGGTTGAGAAAAGAATGAGAAGGCGTTAAGTTGCACATACTGTACTGTGTAAATCTATAGGTACCAAGCCCAATAACAGCAAATGAAAAATATTCTAACGACTCTACGGCCCAATATTACATCACCATGGATCATTTTTGGTTATCATTTTCATGAAACCTTTTGAAACTGATTCAATTATCCACTCACCCACCATAGTAAATACGGGAATATCCATTACACACATGCATCATAAATTCAGCAGAACCCCATTAAATGCAAATGAAAGCATGATTATATCTACAAAAAACAAAAATAATTCCCAACTACACACTTATATATATAAATCTATCCTCATTTAGCATTTTCAACTAAAAAAATTAGAAATAAAAATATTCTGGGTTTTTTTTATAGAAACAATGTTGATTTCGAACACAATCAAGACCCTAGTGTGTTATAACAAAAAACTTCTTAACCAATTTCATTACTTACACGATCAATGCTTGTCTTGGCTCCAAGCTTTGTAAATCAAGAAGATCAAAACTTCTCCAGCATCACATTCGTTCAGACTAATTTGTTTGTTTGATGGATCATGTTTATCTCTTACAACTATTCACACATATAAACTAATATTAGAAAAAGTAATGATGCCTTTTGCATTAATTGTGACATGAGTCATGTCTAAACTTTTTGGGCATTAAATACTGATGTCTCATTGTTTTTTAATGTTATTAATCCCTATTTTACTGTGCAGCCGCAAAAATTAAAACGAAAATATATTGCCTAACCGAAACAGTGTACGTAACTAAACCGCATAACTAAACCGTACAGTGAACAGTACATCATTACGCTGGCAGGAGTAAAATGGTCAGAATTTGGCTAAAGTGTCAAAATTTGAGAACTAATTCTCACTTTGCCAAACCATGAAAATAAAAGTTGGTCTTCTGCCCTGCCATGCAATTTACCCAATTTAGAAAGCGTTATATATAGGTCCCAAGCCCAATAACAGCGGTAGAAAAATATTCTAACGGGTCTATGGCCCAATAACACATCATCATGGATCATTTGGTTATCATTTTTATGAAACCTTTAGCTTCTGAAACTGATTCAAAACTCTTTTAGATTTTGATAAATGTCTATGTATATTTTTATAAAGATTTTAAATACTGAAAAGACGAAGAGGGATTGGTGAACTCGTGGTTATTCAAGATTCTCTTGATATTTTCACGTTGAATTTTGCAAAAGATACTCTCATTGTACAAGCTTCATTGGTGCATTGGCATATCTCAGATCAGTAAATAGTGATAGTGTTGATGGGTTCTCAAGAAGGTATATGAAGTTAGGAAGAAGATATGGAATTCTTTTGAATTGAAAGGAAACTATTCTTACCAAAAAGCCACATGCTACTGTGTTTCAGAATTACGTTCAATTGTGTTTGATTGACTCAAAGTAGACAGTTTGCGATGTTCGTTTCATGACTGCATAGTGTTTAGTGTGACAATCGGCTTTGTTTCCACATTACTACTTTTATTCTCATGTTGGTTTTTTTTTTCCTGCACGGTTTAAAGAATTGCTATTATTATTATCAACTAGTTGAATTAGAAAGAAGAACTGATGATGTGTATACGACCGGTCAATGAACTCCTCATTGTGTGTATAGTTACGCCACTTAATTAGCTTTTTGGCAATTATGCACTCGATAGGATAGTGACCTTTACATGTGCACTAAAACATAATCAAAGTCAGAACGTTAACAAAGCTAAACTGACATCCCAACAACATCGTTGTACACTCTAACATCAAATGCCTTAATAGTTACACTTATGTCGGACACTAAGTTTATGTTATCATCAACGTACAAGTGAACTATGAACTTTTTATATTTCGGAATTTATTTATAAGATGACAGTAAACAGAGCAAGGCCGAGGGAGAAACCATGAGGAAGGCAAGAATCAAGAGGGAAGAAACCATTGAGCATCCTTGACGTTAAAGTTGGAGAGAGTGTGGCGGTGTTTGATGGTCTTTGTTGTAAGATTGAAGACACAGATGTCGGGCGTGAAGGATTCCTGTGACGGATACGATCACCACGGGTGAAATAGATGGAGTTAGGCTCAATACCACGGGTATGGTCAGCAGGCACGGTGGTTCCCAAATCAAGAAAGAGGGCCTCATCACCTAGAGAATGTACCTCAAGAAGCCGGGTTAGGTAGGTATTCGGGTCAAGATCTTTAGGATCTCTCTTGTACAGGTGGAACATCCTATCCCTTTGAGAGTTACCTAACTCGTAAGAATAGACAACCAAAACCTGACCTGATCTTGTAACAGCAATGCTTTCACTAGATGAGGTGATCTTATCTATGTTGACTCTTACTTGTTCATCCATACTCAGACTTGGCATCCACATTGGAAGCTTATGGTTCTCGGACACATCCTTGATACCATCTTCACCATGTCCAGACAAATCCAAGTGTCGAACGAAGTCACGGATGGCAAGGACGTAAAGACTGTAACCTTTAAGTACCATATCTTTTACACCGCGTAACTCCCTGCGAACATCGGTCCTTGTTAAGATCTCGCGGTAATGATCATCCCCTTTCTTGCAAAACCCTAGAAAGTCGTTCATTTCAAAATGCCACACAACAACGTAGTCTTCCTTGTTGTGGCCTATCCACAAACGACCTCTCAGATCTTCGGCAGTATGAGGATCCCCAGGAGATAAATCACTGAATAATATATTCCTGACTTTATTCTCTCCTACTCGCTCAATTTTATAAAGGCTACCTTTCAATGATTCTAGTGGTGGAAGATCGATCCTACCCTCGCTAAAGACATCTATAATATAGAGTTTCAATTGAGAATCTACCACGAGAAACCATTTACCCGAGCTTCCAAGGAATCGATACCCTGAAAGGTCACTCTTCGTCTAGTAAACCCTATCAT